ACCACTACGGCAGTGTAGTAGGATTTGAAATCTACTTCTGGTATTTGGTGAGTGAAAAACTTCTCTGGATCACAACAACTTGATCTCGTTGTGTGTCGGTCACCCTGAGTTGGGTGTCTAATTGAAGGCAGCTGAAAACAGCTCTGTTTACTACCTGTCATTGGGAAGATTACATCTTGCAGCCTGGGTCTCAAGGATAAAATGGGAAAGTAATATCTGCCTGTTCTGGTGGCCTAGTCCGTAGGGAGTGGCACTGTTAAACCAAAGGCAGCTCCTCTCTGGTGGTTTGAATCCACCAGTGGCTCTGTGAGGCAAAGATGGCCAGTCCACTTCTGTGTGATTTGCAGCCTCTGAAAACCTGCTAGAGAGTCAGCTCTGATGAAGGAGTGCTGGTCTTTTTCTGAGTCATGTCCTTGCTCTTTCCCAAGTCTGTATCAATTTGGCTGGGCCATGATTCTTGGTAGTTTAGAATTATATAATGGTATAATTTGGCAGTTAAACAATGATGTAATCAACCTGTGATGTGATCAGATTGAATTGGCCAGTCAGTTGTCAGGGCATTAGGGTAGGCTGCAGGACCTTTACCCTGGTCACAGTTCTGACCCTGTCTGGGTCAGGGAAGTTTTCTTGTGTCACCTTTTGTTTTACAAGACACAGAGAAGTAAGCAGATGAGGTGGGGACGTCAGAACCAAGATAGAAGAGGTGGGAGCAGAGGACATCTTTTGGACCCAGGTCCATGTGCTGAGAACCTGCAGGACCCAGGGGAGGGTTGATGCCAAGACACATGTTGATTTCCAAGGACCACTCAACCTGCAGCTGTTGAGACAAGGACCTTCCTCCAGAGAGATGCCAGAGTGAGAAAGGTTCCCAGTAGAGCTGACTCTCTGAATTTAGACTTCTAGCGTTTTAAACTATGAGAGAATAAATTTCTGTTTGCTTAAGCCATCTACTTGTGGTATTTCTGTTACAGCAGCATTAGATAATGAAGACATTGCCTTGTGGGATTGTTGTGAGGAGTAAATGAAATAAAGCCAAGTGATCTAGTCTCATCTCAGGGCTGCCACATACAGTTGAGCAGGGGGGGGGACACTGGACACAGATACATAGGCAGGAGAGGGGCCGGGCTGAAACCCAGCTCACTCTTATTTGACAAGCCATGTGCCTGGCATGTAGCTTAATCTACCTGGAGGAAGAGATGCTCTTTCCTCATTGCACAGTGGTGCTCTGTGAACTTGTGGTGTTTCTACCCAGTGTAGAATGAACATCAGCTCTGGGGTTCTCTGAGAGCCTGTTTTTACACGTACAATTCATTGATGTTGATTACATTCCTATGTTGTAGAACCATCAGCTATTGTATAACCATCAACACTCACTGTTGCCAGATTGTTTCTTCACCTTCAGAGAAACTCAGTGGCCCCTATCACAGCTTGTTTGGAGGTGAAAATGAGGCCCAGAGCGGGGAGGCGATTTACTCACAGTCACACAGCGGATTGAGAGTCTTAGCCAAGACAGGACTGCAAGTCTTCCCAGCTTCCTGAGTGTTGGGCTGACAACTGACAGGTTGGCATTCAGACCCACCAGCTGCTTCACAGGAAAAAGATGAAGCTGAAGTCTTGCTCCTATAAAGATTTACAGGAGGCCTGTGGTCTGGGGCAGCTTGACTCTGCTTCCAAGGTCACTGCAAGTTGGAACTGACGCAGTGGCAGTAAACTTGGTTTGAGGGTTTAGGCTTTTCTGCATCATTGGAATCTATACCTTTTCTTAGCAGCAGCCTGAACTTGTGTCTTCAGCAGACTGCATGGATTCTGAAGGGCCTGCGGGACATTGTTGTGGACAATGGTCTTTGGCAGACAATGAGCTTTGTGATAGGACACCAGACCTCATGTCTGGTCAGTGACAGTTGGAGCCAGGGAACTGGGCTTGTTATTCCAGCCTGACCTCCCGCATGGGGCCAGGTTCTTAGTTCCTGGTAACAGCATCCTTTCTTGCTAGTTATAGCAGTGAGTTCGTGGAATAGTTGAGAAGACCCACTCCGGCTGAGCTCCCAGGAACGCCAATATTGCTTTGTAACATGACGCTGCCTTGAAGCCTGCTGCCTCTGAGAGAATCAGGAATTACTGCCATGCCACCCTTGCCACATTCTATCCCACCAAAATCATGCCTTGAATATTGCTACTCATTTCAGAGAAGGCAAGTCTGGTGCCAGTGCTTTTATTTGGTTAAACTTAAATCACATGCAGAATTTGGTTGCAAAGGGAATGCATTTTTTTGCTCTATTGCTTCATATTGGAAAAGGCGTTAATACACCAACCTCCAACATCCACCTCACCCCTTAACAATGGTCACATTCTGTCTTCCTTAATGACGGGTTCATGGACATGCAGGCAGTTTACATACCTTATAATTCACACATTCAGTGGTTTTTAGTATGCTCACAGACTTGTACCACAGTCAATTTTATAATATTTTCATTATCCCAAAATAAATCTTAAAACCATTATTGTAGAATGAGTATGAGGATTGGGGGGGGAGGGTGGAAGCAGAGGGATGAGGATGTGCCGGGGGAGGGGAGGTTAATCATGGGGTTGTACGATTTGATGGGTGGGAGGTGAGGGAAATGAGAAGAATCTGATTTGGAAAACAATGTATTTGAATTTATAAATAAACTAGTATAATAAGAATAATAAAAGAACTCTTGTACTCACTAGTGGTCACTCCCCGTTTAACCCCTTGTCCCTAGCCCTGGACAATGACCCATTTATGTTCTGAGGCTGTGGGTCTGGCGTTTTTTGGATGCAGCCTATAAATGGAATCTGACAACCCATGCTGTTTCTGACTGATTTCTTTCACTTAGCATAAGGATTCGAGGCTCATCTGTGTTGTGACGTGACTTGGCACTTGGCATTTAGTAAGGCCTCATTCAGTAAGTGTTGGCTGAAATAGTCATATTTATTCTATGTAAAGTTGGTGGGAGGGACTCAGAGTCTGTGCTGTACTTTGGATGTTGGTAACAAACCAGCAGGTGGCCAGAAGGCATGGCCACTTCTGTATTTAGGCCACGCTCAAGCACCAGCCCTGCCCTGCACTGGCAATGTGAACTCTGGCAGTGTGAACTCTGGCAGTGTGAATACTGGCTGTGTGAACACTGGCAGTGTGACCTGGAGCTAGGTCTGGCTAGCCTCAGTGTTCTCAGTTGCCAAATGGGGAGAAGGAAAGGTGAGTCTCACCTACATCACAGTGTAAGTGTAAGAAGCAGATGAGCGAATGAAATGAAAACGTTTTGTAGACAGCTTAGCTAGATTTGTGGCTATTTGAAGAAGGCAGGAGGGAGGAAGGTCTGTAGGCAGCATGGGAGAGCTGAGGTCTCACGGTCCCAGTCTCCCAGGGTGCCTGCTGCAGGGACTCAGATTTCTTGGTGTTCTGGGGTCAGAGGGAGGAGAGAACAGTCCAGACATCACCGCCTCCCCTTCCTCTCCACAGTCACACACGGGGAGCCAAACCTGCTCCTGCCTTTTGCTCCCTCCAGAGTTCCCTGCACCAGGGCAGTTGCCAGAGGAGGGTGAGGTCAGGGTGTTGCATTTAAATGACTAGGAGAGACACCTTCCCCAAAACCCCTAAATGCCCCTTCCCTCCTTAAGCCAAGCCCTACTTCTCTGTGTAATCTCTGTCCTTTTTGGTTCTCAGGTATTTTGAATTTTATAAGGGGCCTTTGGAATATAACTCTTCGAGATGCCTGGAGCTGAGGCACGAAATCCTGGAAGTGAAGGTGCTGTCCATGTGAGTGTGACCAGGCCAGGCATCAGGGTAGGGGTGCACCACACATGGAGACAAGGATGGAGGCCAAGATGGGGTGCATGATGCATGGGGCAAGGCTGGGGTGTAGGATGGGGGTGTGTGAGGCATGGGAGCAGGACGGGGCGCAGGATAGGGCTGTGTGATGCATGGGGGCAGGGATGAGGTGCAGGATGGGGGTACACGATGCATGGGGCAAAGCTGAGGTACAGGATGGGGTACATGATGCGTGGAGTGGGGCAGGGCTGGGTGTCAGGGTGGCATACACAATTTAAGGGGTGAAGACCAGAGCGAGGGTCACAGGAAACACTATCCATTCCATAAACTAAAAACGAGGTGTCCTTCTAGGGACCACTTGGCATCTGGAAGGCCTGGGAGGGTTGGTACACAGGGGCACTGTGCGCCTTTGATGAAGAAAGGCTACCTCTGATGACACGGTTGTTTGAGGCCTGGGCTCAGTTACATCTCCTTGATTATCATCCTTCTGTGTGGGAAGAAAGAGGCGAACCTGGGTGTCGTACCTGAAATTCTGCCCTCGAGATTAAATGCTGCTCTCCTATTGCAATCTTTTTGTATTTTATTTGAAACATCATTTTTTAAACTTAAATGATTTCAGACTCAAGTGGTACAAGAGGGGTATACAAAGTATACAAACTTCTGTCCACAGCCACTCGGTTCTCCCCAGAAGCAAAACAGAGTCCAAGCCAGGAAGTCTTCTCAGAGTCTACATGCTGACAGGCATCTATGTGGACACATTTCTTTTACTGAGATGGTAAAAGAACCCTGTGTTCCCCCATTCACCAGTGTGTTACCTAGAGCCTTGTAAGACCCAGGAGAACAAAAGTGCATTAAACACTCAGCATTTCCACGTGTGCTTATCCCAGCTTTACATTCTATTTTTTTAAGGAAAATTGTTATCAGCTTTCCATTCTTGATGAGTTATTATTGCTGGGGGTCTACCTGTTGTGTGGGTTACAGTTCACAGCGGCCCCATGTGACAAGGTAGAACTGTCCTGTGGAATTGTTGTGGGTTTGTTGTGGGGTTTTTTTGCCATGTCTGTGTCCCATGGATTTGTAGGGTGAGTTTGAACTACCAATCTTAGTTCTCAGCTGAAGGCATAACCGTCCCTCACTTGTTATTAATTTATTCAGCCCTTCCAGAGGAGTTCCTGTTGCATTATTTATGAGGGGGGCTATATTTGCTAAAAAACAGTTGTATCTGGATGGGAAAGAAATTGTTTGTTCAGAGTTGGGTGAGGGAGGGTGCTTACAAATATTCAGGGACTCCTAACCAGTCTTGGTACCCCTACTGATGGCCTGTGGGCAGGGGACACTGCTCCTTGAATGGGTGCCGGCTAATGTGGGTGATAGAAAGAGTGTTGAGGGCAGACAGACCTGGGATTGAAAATGGACTCTGGACCATACCAGCTCTGCGTCTTTATTCAAGTCACCTAGCCTCCCAAGCCTTTCCTTGCCTGTAAAACTGGAGACAGTATTATCTATCTGGCTGTTAAAGGCTACTTAGGTGTCTGTAGGTGATTCTGCTGGAACTGAAAGATGGCAGTTTGAGTTCACCCAGGTGTGCCTTGAAAGAAAGGCCTGGAGATCTGCTTCTAAAAAAATTTCCTTGAAAACCCTCCGGAGCACATTTCAACTGTGATGGACATGAGTCCAAACCGAGTCAGCGGCATGATTATCACCTGGAAGTGGATAGACCAGTTGATGCTGATAGCACTCCTGCCTTTTGCTTTCTTCTCTGGAACCAACAGCACCTGTTTTGCTGGGCTGTCATTCAGACTCCATAGCTCTGCAGCTGCTAGAAGGCTCCGAGGATGTAGACAAATGCTTGATGGGCAATAGCTGCGTTGTTTACAGGGGTCTGTGTGTCTTGTTAGCGCCTGTAGATAAGAGGTCAGGAGGTCGCGCTCCACCAAGTTGCAGGGCCTGGTTCCTGCCCTCTGTTAGCTCACAGGGGGAGCAGACATGATAACTGGCTGCCCCTGGAGTCTGAGGGGTGAAGGGGTTCTTGAGTTGGGCCCTGAGGAAGGGACTCTGAGACTGGGGTCGGAAGGGTTTTAGGTGCTGACTAGGTCAGGAGGATTCCAGATGGAGGAACAGTTTGAACCAAGGCCCTGTGCCAGGAAGGCTCGCTGTACCACAGGCCCTGGAGGATGGAGGCAGCTTGAATGCCAGCGTGAGAGGGAGAGACGGAGCCGTGCTGATACAGGGGCGGGGGAAGGCTGTGTGGGGCTTGCAGACCGGGTTTGGGATTTTTCCTTTATCTAGGGGAGGCTTTGGGGAATTTTAACCAGAGGAAAGAGGGGTCAGGGTACTACCTGTTGTTTGGAAACCTCCCCCACTGAGTTCTGAGGTAGTGGGCAAAGATGGCCGCCCAGGCCTTGGGCAGCTGCCTCGTTTGTAAGCTCCTCAACAAAGATCTTTTCTCGGAATTCAAAGGTCCCAGGTTCTTAAACACTTTCTTCTACTTTGGAAATCCAAAGCACTCTTGGTGGGAACAAATGAAAGAATTTTTTCAAAGGGTAGCTGATCTTTTGTTGATGGTCAAATAGAGGCCCTGTGAGGCCAAATAGAGGTCACCTCCCAGGTAACGTCCTTCTCACATATTTTCTGTCCACCTGGGATCGTTCTTGTCACAGCTTCCATGGAGGGATCACATTAGGAATGACCTAGGCCCTGTGTCTCTAGCCTAAAACACACACAGCGTGGCGTGTGAGGGAAACATTTCTGCTTGCTCTGCGCCTGTTCTTTGTCCCTTGTCATGGACTCAAGTGGGTGACATTTGCAGAAAGACTGCCCCAAATACCCCCATGGATTCTACTGTCTCAGGGGGTCTCTCTGATTCTGAATTGATAGTACCCAGTATCATCAATGTATGGTTTCCAAAGACCTGCTATTTCAGAAGTGGATGGCAGTCACTTCCTAGTTTGTCTTAATTTGCCACATGCTATGGGCATGTCACCAGAAGGGACCAGTCCTTGGAATAGGACGTCGTTCTTGGAAGGATGGTTGATCAATGTAGGAGAGGAAGACCCTGTGTGAGATGGATTGACACAATGACTGGCAATGGATCCGGTGTGTCTGAGATGATGAGGTCGGCTTAGAATAGGACAAAGTTCATAATGTCACTGTGAGTCGTAGTGACTTGATGGCACAGACCACCACCACCACCACCACCACATTTGGCTTTAGTTCTTATCCCTGTTTTTGGGGAACCCGCTCTGGTCCCCTAGGACTAGACTCCTGGGCTTAGCAGTCTTCCTGCCTCATGGTCTCTGGCCTGGTAGGGCCTCATGTGTGTGCTTCTTGGAATCTGTGCTCCCGTGGGCTGGCTGGGCCTCTGTGAAGGGGAGGCTCGGCCCAGGCTGGTTGTGGTGCATCAGAGTGTGGGCCTAGGGGCACTCTGGGGACTCACAAGTGCAGCTTCTCCTCTGAGTCTTCCACTCCTCAAGGGTCATCTGAGTCCACTAGAGCTGAGGTTGGAGTCCCCAGAGGCTGACCTCTAGTCCCTGGGCCTCTGTCTTCTCCCTCCCCACCATGTCCAGCCCCTCTGGGCCTGCCTGTGCTGCAGCCCTGAGAGAAGGTTAAGCTCCATCTCTGATTCCGGAAGGCTGGCGGATGTGAGCAGAGCCCTCCAGGCTCACAGAATGTCAGCTGGTGTTCTGTCTTCAGAGCCTGGAAGGGGTGATTCACCGGAGACGGTTTCTGATCCAAAATTGCTCAAATCAATGGCACAAGTCAGTCAGCCGGAAAACTCCCACATGGAAAATGCCTTGCTCCCTGACAGTGTCAGATCTAGTCTGGGCTGATGATTTGTGAAAATGTAGTCACTAACGCTTGTTCAAATTACTGATGCTTGGCTGTTTCTCGAGCCCCCTTATTGCCAACCCAATTGCCTGTACGCACACCCAGATAGGGGGCTGTGTCTTGAAGCACTGGTCACCTCTCTTGTGTCCCCTTCTCTGTCCTCCTGTGGCTGGGGACTCCGAGCCAGGAGAGAAGCTGGGAGCCAGGGCCAGCTGGACAGATGCCCGCTCTCTGGGCTGGGAGGCCTCATTGGTGCCCATGGAGCCTTGTCCTTTCTGCCACCTCCGTGAGGTCCCTGAGTGGAGCTCAGTCCCCTGGGAGCCCTGCTTAGGTACGTAGCTTGGCCCAGAGCCGGTGCCTGGGACACACTGCTTAAATGAATGGGCCGGAACAGGGGAGGCCTGGCAGAAAAGGGTGAGAAGGAAGGGTGAGCAAGTGGGACATCATTATCTTGTCATTATCACCATCTCTTGTATGTTAGAAAATTTCTGTACACAAAAGCTAACGATGAGACAGCAGTGCCCTGTCCCACACCTTCCTCCTGCCCTGGGCCTTTTCTCTTAACCCTTTCTTCCATCATCCCTCCATAGTGTATGCAGCTATGTCTTGACTTCCACTTTTTTCTTTAAAATTATTATTAAATTTTATTAGTTTTAGTGAACATTTACAGAGATTTGGGGTTTTCATTCATTCATTGTTGCACTGTTTTCTCCACCCTCATCCCCAGTTCGTTCTTCTCCCCCCCCAACCCCCGAATGTCTGTTTTAATTGTCCAAGACTTCCACTTTAACACAGTGTTTACAATGTCCTGCTTTAGTGGGTAAGGACTGAGCTGTCTTATGTTACTTCAACCTCCCCTCTACCCTTTCTCCCAGTCTCCCCACCTGGGGTCATTAAGACTCTATTTGCTGACAACAGGCTTTGCCCTTTAATGCTATGTAATTTTGCCCTTCCTTGGGAACAACCCCTGCCCACAACAGACTCTTTGTTAGTCATCTTCTTGGGCTTCACTGGCAGGTTTTACATTGCTGAAAAGGCTCTGAGCCCTTTCTTTTTTTTTTCTTCACATGTGAGAAATTTTATTATTATTTCTTTTTAAAAATCATTTAGAATTCTAACTTTACAACCACAACATGGATTTTAAATGTTAGCTTTTAGAA